AGTTAGGTAGAACTCTTGAAGACATTGGCATAGGAAAAGACTTCCTGAACAAAACCTCAGCAGCATGGGAACTAGCACAAAGAATTAGCAACTGGGATCTCATCTTATTAAAAAGCTTCTGCACTGCAAAAGAAACCACCAACAGAGCTAACAGACAACCTACAATATGGGAAAAAAAATTAGCATGTGTACTTCAGACAAAGGACTACTATCTAGAATATATAAAGAATTGGAAAAAATCAGACCCCCCAAATTCAAAGACCCAATTCAAAAATGGGCATCTGAAATGAGCAGACATTTCTCACACAAAGAAGTAAAAGCAGCAAACAAATATATGAAAAAATGTTTAACATCACTCATCATTTGAGAGATGCAGATGAAAACAACACTGAGATTCTACCTCACCCTACAAAGAATGGCTGCTATCAAGAAATCAACAAATAACATGTGGGGAGCCAAGGGTTAATTACAATACTAAAGGCACATTGCAAGGGAAAGTAAAATGAGGGCGAGGATTACTAGGAACAGCACAAGGACACCTAGATAGGGAAAAGAAAACAAGGGACTGTCTCAAGGCTTGGGGAATTTCCAGATGTGCCTTATGTAAGATGTTTTCTATTCTTGAGTACTGTAAAAGAGAATAGTAAAGTCAATAAAGTTGCTCGGTAACTGGGAGCCCTCCCATCTTCTTTCTTTCAATCCTCACGCCTAGTTTCAGGTTCCTTTCAGTTTGCCTCAGCAGGTCCGCTGCAGAGTGGCGCCGAACAGGGACCTGAATATCGGGGATTTGCCTTGAAGGACGCCGCGTGGAGAGCTCGGGACAAAGTGAAAGTAAGGTTAGTGCAGCGCAAAGCGGGAGAGTGATAGAAATGGAACAAGTTAGTAGTAAGATGTTATTTGTTCAGACTTTAAAAAATTTGCTGCAGGCTCCTGGTGCTCGTGTCAGTCAACATCAGTTGAGCACTTTTTTAGAATTTGTAGAAAAAGTCTGCCCCTGGTTCCCCAAAGAAGGAACTGTTAATTTAGAGTTGTGGAATAAAGTAGGGAAAAAACTTCAAGATTATTATGAGGGACACGGGCCAACTAAAGTCCCTATAGATACTTTTAGTTTATGGGCTTTAATTAGAGATAGTTTGGATCCTCGACATGAGAGAGAGAGGGTTAAAAAACCCTCCTCAAGTCCTTCCCGGGAGGAGTCTGACAAGGCTGATGCTCCTGAGGCTGTTCCTTCGCCTCCCACATTAAGTGAAACTAAGCCATCTGCCCTGTCGGCTTGTGCTGATACAGAGCCTGCACTAAATAAAGGCCTTTTTCCAGATGAGGGTCCCTTAGACCCGGAAGATGCTGATGATTTGGAAGAGGAGGCTGCTAGGTATAATAATGAGGACATGACCAAAAAGATTACTAGGTTGAAAAAGACATTGAAGTCTCTTTGTCAGCCGTGGCAGACAGGCTTAAAGGTGGAAGAGAAAGGCCAAAAGACTCAGGGCGAGGGAGGCATAGTTCCTAACATAATTGCTGGTCTTGATCCCCCACCGGTTACAGGTCCAAGATTAATAATAAAAAAAATTTAAAAAAACTGACCCTCTTATAGCCATGATCAAACATCCCCCAGGTCCCAGACCTTTGTCTGTCAATTCTCAGTCTCTGTCGCCATTACAAGCTACCCTACAACACGCGGTTGACAGAGGGGAAGATATCCAGGGTTAATAATAATTATAGATTTATGGTAAAAAATTTAAAAAAGGGGGGACAACTTCAAAATGCTGTTTTTGTATTTACAGGTGTAAAAGCACTTTTATTCCTTCTGATTCTAATCTCAGGAGATCTCTGTTAATTGACTATTCCAAAGTTTTTGACCAGTCATACAATTATAAATCTGATAATCATAAAAAAGATATTGTAATTCAATTTGGCCAAATATATTTGAGTGCACTCTAATTTTATAAATTGTCTTTTATGTTTGTCTGTTGTCTGTTTGTACAGTTGAGCTCAATTTTTTTTTACAATAAACAGTTGTAAAATAAAAAGATATATATATTCATATTATTTGTTTGTCAAAGTAAATAGAGTCTGTTGGGACTCCCTTTGATGAATAAAGAAGTGGCCATCCAGAAAATAATTATTCTGGTCTTAATTCACTAAAGGGACCCCCTAGTAAATTTCATAATCTTACAGGAGGAACAACAAACAACAACAACAACAAAAAAAAAAAAAAAAAGGGAGGAGGAGAAGGAGAATGTGAAATGGAGGGGCTGCCTGGAAGAGAGAGCTGTGAGGCCTAGCAGTAGTCAGGTTGTCAGTGGGCAGGTGTGTGAGATGGGGCAGACATGTGTGATGGCAGGAGTGAGGGCAGAAGATAAAAGCATGTGGCACAGAAACGTGGTGGGAGAATCAGAGGCAGATGTTTCCAAGAGTGTTTTCAAAATTCTGTGTTTAAAAGGATTATTGAAAAGTTACAAGGAACTGAGGTTGTGAAAGCTGGAAAGAAATCATGGACTATAGGGACATGTGCATTTTTGCTTATACAGAGAACAGAGATTTGGTAGTGTATCTCATGCCAAAGTCCAACAGAGAGAGCAATGAGAATGAGGTCAGTTGAAGTTGGAAGATCGATATCGCCCTTCCTGCCCATATTATATACAGGAGATTAAATTGGCCATGGCCCTTGGTACCATATTTACTGCATCAGGACATGAAGAGGCACAGGACTTTCCGCCCTGTGGCGTTGGATGATATGTTAATAGAACTACCTCCTGGGAACGATGTGTGGGAGATCAACCATACCAATTCAACATCTCAGGCACTCCCAGCTACATTTTGGATTGGTCAGCTACCCGGCCTGTTCTCAACCTAATGCAATCCATTCCATCCCAAGAAATTTCTACCAGACTTTGGTGGACTGATAAAAAATATGGTCAACCCTATCTTTGGAAGTTGGCTGCCGCCCTCCTCCCATTGGAGGGGAAGATCGGCAATGGGTCAGCCACAGGAGGGACAATGAAACAGGTTAATGTTACCATTTGTGTAAGACCACCAGTGTTGTTGTTAATTGGAGAGATTGGGTTGTCATTTTTAAATGAGTCAATGTATAATGTATCCTGTACTAATTGTATTTTAAGTAATTGTGTTGTTTCTCCTGTGTCTAATGGATCTTGGGTTATGGTTTTAAAACATCCTAGTTTTATAATGATGCCTGTCAATGTGTCAGAGCCCTGGTATGAGAGTCAAGGGGTTCAATTGTTAAAAGAGTTTCAGGCGGCCCTGCGTCACCCTAAGAGAGGGGTAAGCCTAGTGATTGCTGACATCGCTGCCTTAATTACTTTGATTATATCAAGTATTGCCTCCACTGTTGCATTGGTTGATACTGTACAAACAACAGGTTATGTCAATCAATTAGCAAAAAATGTCACACTGGTATTAGATACACAAGAAGATGTTGATAGGCGAGTAGAACATTAAATGCCTTGTATGCCACAGTCATGAAAATAGGACAAAAACTTGAAGTGGTAAAACTGCGTTCCCGGCTGCAGTGCCATGTTAATTATGCTTGGATGTGTGTTACTTGGTTGCCGTATAATGACACTCGATATAATTGGACTAAGATACAAAATCATTTACAAGGTATTTGGCAACATGAAAATTTGTCCTTAGATTTATTACAATTACATCAGGAGATCCTGGCGCTTCAAGAAGCCGAGCCCCTGCAGTTTAATGCTACTGCAGAAGCCCTTCAGTTTTTAAATGGCCTAGTATGAGAAATGCCCGATGTCCTAGGACTTCCACACATAATTGGCGGCCTGCTTGGGGCTGCCTGCATGATTGTGTTTATGTGCCTTATCTTCCCTTGCCTCCTAAGATTGCTGGCTTGTAATATGCGCATACTCATGGGCGAAGTCCATGGACTTAGTCTGCATGCACGACCCCCGAGCCTACTATATAAAGAGACTGACAGCCAGAGACGGGTAATGAGGGGGTAGATTCTGATTCAACCTAAGACAGGAGCCTGGCCATGCGCCTACCCTCCCATGACGGGTAAGAACAGGTATCGTACCCTCCAACCTAAGACAGGCGCAGTCTTCTTAAAACAAAAGAAAGGGGGAGATGTGGGGAGCCAAGGGTTAATTACAATACTAAAGGCACATTGCAAGAGAAAGTAAAACGGGGGCGAGGATTACTAAGAACAGCACAAGGACACGGAGGTAGGGAAAAGAAAACACGGGACTGTCTCAAGGCTTGGGGAATTTCCAGATGTGCCTTATTTAAGATGTTTTCTATTCTTGAGTACTATAAAAGAGAATAGTAAAGTCAATAAAGTTGCTCGGTAACTGGGAGCCCTCCCGTCTTCTTTCTTTCCATCCTCACGCCCCATTTCAGGTTCCTTTCAGTTTGCCTCGGCAGGTCC